GGGTGAATTGGATGATCGCCTCTGGGTACCAGCATTGTTGGAATGTTCCCTTACTCATGCGGTTCTTGAAGGTCAACAGGCTAGGGCCACCCTGTGACAGGAGAGACATGTTTGGGGTTCCCTTGGTCAAGAAGGATATATGATGGGTCCTGGGAGAGGGACTGAATTGCCCTGGACATGGTACGAGCTGAGAAAAGGGGTACGGGGGTCGGGGGGTGAGGGGAGAAGATCTATGTGGGTGACCTGTATCTGTCTATACAAAGTGACCCGTTTCTGCCTATGCTAAACAGCCCATGCCTGCTTACAAAATGACAGACAGAAACTAAGCAAAACTAAACATCCTGCTCACACAGTGAAACATAAAGGGTATCTTTTGAACAGGGCTACTCCAACGTCAGTAAAAAGGGCTCTTGCAAACAACCAAAGACAGTTCTGATAAGAGGATGCCTAAGGATAGGTAAGTGATGGATTCCAGCCTCATTTATGAAAGGATGATTGTCCCAGTAAATGAATAACACTAGGTGTGAGTCTCAGCCCATAACCCAGCCAAATTAACTCCCTTAGCTGTTGCTTTTGCAGCTGTAGTAAAATAGTTGTTTCTTTGAAGTCACTCGCAATATTAAAAAAATTGCTTGTAGTTAAAAAAATTCTTCAGATAACCATAGAAGTAGCTTTCAACATAAAAAGATAAATACACATATAAAGTTAGTATAACGCAAACATTAAAAAAAAAAACACTGAAACCTGGATGTGAAAGAAATGCCTTCTCTTATGCCCCGAGTAAAATAGATTGTTCACAGCCCATTAATTAAAGTGCTAACAGTAGGTAGCTGTATAATTTTACATGTAATAACGAATTTTATAACAGTTTTAACTAACTGCAATAAGGTTAATTTCTAATTGTCTTTTGCACTTTTACATATATAATTGGGACAGTGAGAAACATAAAAGGAACAAATGAATTTGATAAAGATAAGCACATGAAATACAATTCAAGCTGTCCTCAGAGATAAGGAAGCCTGAGACAGATCTAAAGGAATATAGTCAGTAACTTTGGAATGTGAATGAATAGGATGCATAGAAAGATCCCAAAGCCTGGGGAATATAATGTGTAGTAAATGCCATAAAATCAAGGGAATCTGGGGCTGTCCATAGGAATGCCCATCATTGATTAGGTGTCCCACGGAATTGGGTGCGTGTATTAAGGGGAAAGGACAGTGTCCATGTTGTATTTGATCATTTTGCATTACAATGCATAAAAATGCTGTATTTCGCTGTGAAGATCAGAGTGTGTAATTGATCTCTCTTCTGATCTGAGCCAAAGATTAAAGGAAAAATTGCTTTCTCATATCGAATCAGAGATAGTAGGAACTGCAGATGCTGGAGAATCCGAGACAACAAGGTGCAGGGCTGGATGAACACAGCAGGCCAAGCAGCATCATAGGAGCAGAGAGGCTGACGTTTCGGGCCTAGACCCTTCATCAGAAAATTCGAGGAAGATCCTTTGGCCCTCTCCCTGCATCAACCAGTTTCTGCTTGAATAAAAAAAGTCTTCCACTTGCCTGAATCCTATCTGCCTCCTGTGTCTTTGACCCTGTCAGGGGGTATGCTCCTATAGTTGGTATCAGCTATGGGATACAGATGGGTGTGGGATATAGTGGCATCTTTTGGGCATGGGGTGCTGGGTGTAGGCTGACTGTTGGAAATAAAGGTACAAGCTTCACAAATCTAAGAAGTTTAGATTGCCTGCCTGAGGTCTGAGTCAGTGTGGTCAGTTTGGATATACAGTTGACTTCAGTTTAGCAGTAACCTCTCCTTCTCCCTCAGTATACGTGTAGGGAAAATGGTTTCTCAATAGTTTGAAATTCCAGTCCCTGAAGAGCTTTTTTGTGATTTGAGAGAGAGGAATCAAAAACAATGGGCAATAAAATGCTTGCCTAACCACTGACAGTCATATTGCATGAATTAATAATTAAGAGGTTTAAAAGTTTCTTCATGGGGATCTTTGGAATATGAACAGTAAAAATATAAAGAGCAAAAAGTTTGACAAAAAAATAGTAGAAGTGATTAGGAATTAAAAAATATGAATTAATCTTAGAAGCAGGGTGGATAGTTGAGGTATTAAGTCAATACCTTGTAATAGTCTTTACCAAACACTGACCAGCTGTATTTCACAGGGATCGGTACTGGCTCCACTTTTGTCTGTCATTTATAGAAATGATTTAGATGAGAATGTAGAAAGCATGGTTTGTAAGCTTGCGGATGATACCAAGGGTTGGTGGTATAGTGGACAGTGAAGAAGGTTATCTAAGATTACAAAGAGATCTTGAACGTTTTTGTCAATGGGCTAACGAGTGGCAGTAGGAGTTTAATTTGGATAAATGTGAGGTATTGCATTTTGGTAAAACAAAAGAGGCAAGACTTACACAATTAAAACAGGGCTTGGGTAGTGTTGTAGAACAGAGAGACCTAGGGGTTCATGTACACAATTCTTTGAGGTTCGTCTCACATATAGAGAGGGTGGTTAAGGCAGTATTTAGTTTGCTTCCCTTAATTGCTCAGATCTTTGAGTTTAGGAGTTGGGATGTTATGTTGCGGTTATACAGGACATTGACGAGGCCTCTTCTGGAGTACTGTGTCCAATTCTGGTCTCCCTGTAATAGGAAGGATATAATGAAGCTGGAGAGGGCTCAGAAGAGAATTGCCAGGATGGTGCTAGAAATGGAGGTTGAGAGTTATGAGGAGTGGCTGGATACGCTAGGACCTTTTTCATTGGAGTGTAGAAGGTTGAGAGGTGACCTTCTAGAGATACATAAACTCATGAGGGGTACAGATAAGGTGAATGACAGTGTCTTTTCCCTAGGGTGGGAGCTTTCATGACTAGGGAACACATTTTTTAAAGGTGAGAGAGGAGAAAGATTTAAAAAAGACATGGAGGGCATTTTTTTTTAAAAAATAGAGTGGTTTGTATGTGGACTGAACTTCCAGAGGAAATTGTGGATGCAGATACAGTTGCAACATTTAAAAGACGTTTGAATAAGTACATAAGAAATGTTTGGAAGGATATGGGCCAAGGACAGGTGGTTGGGACTAATTTAGTTTGGGATTGCGGTCAGCATGGATTGGTTGGACTGAAGAGTCCATTTCTGTGCTGTAGGATTCTATACTACCTAGGTCATGGAAGAAGTGGAGTTAAATCCCTTCTTAAACTTTCCCCTCTCACATTTAACCTATGACCTCTAGTTTTGGAAACCCCTACCCTTGGGAAAAGACCTTGGTTATTCACCTAATCCATGCCCTCCTAATTTTATAAAACTTCTATAAGGTCACCCCTCAGCCTCCAATACTCCAGGGAAAATAGCTGCAGTCTATTCAACCTCTCCCTACAGCACAAACCCTCCAACCCTGGCAACATCCTTGTAAAGCTTTTCTGAATCCTTTTCAAGTTTAACAACATCTTTCCTATAGCAGGGTGATCAGAATTGAATGCCGTATTCCATAAGTTATGTAGCCAATGTCCTGTGCAAGCGCAATATGATCTCCCAACTCCTATACTCAATGCACTGACTAATAAAGGTGAAGGCATGAGAGTGTGTGGAGAAAATTTACAAGAATGATTGCAAGGATGAGGAACTTCTGTTACATGGATAGATTTGAGAGGTTAGGTATTTTCTTTGAAGAGGAGATGGCCGAGGTGTTCAAAATCATGAAGGGTCAAGACAGAGTAGATAGGGATATACTGTTCCCACTGGTGGAAGGATTGAGAATTAGAGAATATAGATTTAAGGTAATTGACAAAAGCAACAACGGTCACAGAAGAGAAAGTCTTTCATACATTGAGTGGTTAGGATCTGGAATGTCCTCCTAACAGCACAGTAGAAGCAACTTCAATTGAGGCTTTGAGACAGAATCTGAAAAGGAAGCATCAGAGGTCAGGATTTTCAAATGGCTAATCCTCTTCCTCAAACAATTCAAAGACTTGCCTGTCTTTGGCTCATGGTTCTGTACCTAGTAAACATTGGGTGAGTGGGCATGTATTGGTGTTTTGGGCTGGAATGGAGGTAAGGGTAGACAGTGAAGGGACATGTAGGTGGCAGAGGGCAAGGGAGGAGATGGAAGGACTAAAGGATCTAACAAGTCAGCAGTGGCTCAGTGATTCGCACTGCTGCCTCACAGCACCAGGGACCCAGGTTCAATTCCACCCTTGGGCGACTGTCTGTGTGGAGTTTGCACATTCTCCCCGTGTCTGCGTGGGTTTCCTCCGGGTGCTCCAGTTCCCTGCCACAGTCCAAAGATGTGCAGACTGGTTGGATTGGCCATGCTAAATTTCCCATAGTGTCCAGGGATGTTTAGCTTAGGTGGGTGGGTCTGGCTGGGATGCTCCAAGAGTTGGTGCGGACTGGTTGGGCCGAAGGTCCTGTTTCAACACTGTAGGGATTCTATGATTCTAAGTCAATGTCCTAGGAAATGAGCTTGGGTTTTCTAACCTAGTGGTCACACCACCTGCTCATCTTTGTTCCTTCCTGAGGTGGTTTGGGTATACACCCCAGCCTACATCCAACATCCCGAGGCCAAGATATCTGGCGGGAAGGTGACATTAGGAAACTGTCCAACCTGCAGTTCCTAAACTGAAGACAAAAACCTGCCATTGCCTCAAGCTAAAACCTAGAGTTAGGAGGGTGCTTGCAGGTGATGACTCGGGATTTACACCAGATTCAAAAGGGTGGCAAAGGAACTGAAGAGTAAGGAGGAGAAATTTTTTCAAGAAAACATGCAGTTCATCATTACGATCTCGAAAACATTGACTGAAAAAGGTGCTGGAAGCAGATACAATGATATCCTTGCAAAGGGAATCGGACAAATACTTGATGAAAGCGTGCACGGCTCTGGCAAACAAAGCACAGGTCTAAACAGGGATAGTCCCTTGGAAGTGCTGGGCTGAATGGCCTCCTTCTCTGCTATAAGATTCAATGATTTGCATTGTATCTGAACATACGAACGTTTTTTTGGAACCTGGAGTCTCGGAGATTTATCTGCTGTCGTTGGCGTGCCTCAGCTTCAGAAATGCTTCCACCTAAAAAGGAAAAAAAAGATTCAGTAAAGATCCAGGCATATAATTCAGGGTCTGGGAAATGTCGATAAGATGCCCATCAAATGGGTGGGTACGAGATATTATTCAAATTAGCGATACTAGTGTCCTTCTCATCAAACTCAAAGGCTCCTTTCTTTTTTAACTTGGGATGTGAGCATCACTGGCAAGGCTTGTTTATGGCTCAGTCCTAATTACTATCAGAACCGGTACAGAGCCATTTGAGTGGCTTGCTGGGCCATTTCAGAGTGCAATTAAGCACATTGCTGACAGTCTGGAGTCACATCTAGGCCAAACCCAGTAAGGACAGCAGACTTCCTTCCCTAAAAGGACTTTGGTGAACCACATGGGTTTTTTTTTTTTTTTTTAAAAAAAAAACAACCCATTGTTGATAGCAGCAACATTTGAAACAAAATTGACACTTCCCAATTATTAATTAATTGAATTGAAATTCCACCAGCTGCCATGGTGTAATTTGAACCCAAAGCATTCAATGCAGATCACTGCTCCGTTGATATCACTATGTCACCACCCCACCATGCAGCAAAGTATTTGCGTAATAATTCAAATTGAGTTTGTCAGTCAGGATATTTTATACTACAGATCAATGATCATCTGATGATGGCTCAGAGGAAATTTACGAGATTCATTCCTGGAATGAGCAGGCTGTCTGATAAGGATAGATTGGTCAGGCATGACTGGTTTCCACTACAGTTTAGAAGAGCAAGAAGGGTGATTTGATTGAATTTTGAGATTCTGAATGGTCTTGCCAAGGTCAACACGGAAAGGAGGCTTCCTCTTTGGGGGAAAGACTCCAGAAGTAGAGGACATTGTTTTAAAATTGGGGTCTTCCTTTTAAAATGGAAGTGCGGGGTACTTTTTTCCGAGGATTGAGAACTTGGAATTCTATGTCTCTGAAGGCAGTGGAAGCATGGCCACTGAAATGTTTTTAAGGCAGTAGTGGATAGATTCTGTTGGGTTGGGAATCAAAAGGTTATCAGGAATAAGTAGGAACGTGGAACTCGGAATACAAATAGATCAATTCCACTATTCTTAAAAGGTGAAATAGGCTTTTCAGCCCTTTGAGCCTATTTGCACTCCTAATTCTTAAAGACTGAAGGTTTCAACCATTGCAGAGGTTATTTCATGCAGGTCTAACAGTGGAAAAAAAAGAAAATTACATCCAACATCGGTATGGTGATCTGAAGAATCAAGCCGGACTTGAAACACTCACTATTTCTTTCCCCAAAGATGCTGCCAGACCTGCTAAGTTTCCTTAACATTGACAGTACTTTGTTGGAGATGATCTGGGTAAATAAAGGTACAGAAATGGGTGCAAAAACAAAGTTTCTGGAAAAGCTCAGCAGGTCTGGCAGCATCTGTGAAGGAGAAAACAGAGTTAACGTTTCGGGTCCGGTGACTTGGAAGGTTCTGAGGAAGGGTCACCGGACCCGAAACGTTAATGCTTGATCAAGTATTTGCTAAAACTCGTTTCCGCAGCCATATCACATTCCTCAGTGACTGCCTCCGGCTCAGACTCGCCTCCAGTGCTGAGGAAGGGTTACCAGAACCGAAACGTTAACTGTGTTTTCTCCTTCACAGATGCTGCCAGACCTGCTGAGCTTTTCCAGCAACTTCTGTTTTTGTTCCTGATTTACAGCATCCGCAGTTCTTTTGGTTTTTATTACAGAAATGGGTGACTGGATTAGGCTGCAGGTGACCACACTGGGTCCCAAATAGGGACCCTCACCACTACAACTCAACCTACTGCAGCAGGAAAAAAAAAAAAATCAGAGTTAACGTTTCGGGTCTGGAGACCCTTCCTCAGGACTGGAGACCCTTCCTCAGGACTGGAGGCGAGTCTGAGCCAGAGGCAGTCACTGAGGAATGTGATATGGCTGCGGAACCGAGTTTTAGCAAATACTTGATCAAACACCAGGACTGACAGTGAAATTAATGTCGGTGGACAAGGAGGAGGATTGGAACGGAAACCCCATCAGAGAGAGGAGCAAAGCTTCAAGGTGGGCATGCCTAGAAGAGATGTGGCAGTGAGCTAAATAAAAACCGAAAGAACTGTGGATGCTGCAAATCAAATTTACAACATTCACAGTTCTTTCGGTTTCTACTACAGTTGTAAATTGGGGAAATGCATCATAGAGTCCGACAGCACGGAGACACACCCTTCGGCCCAAACTGGTCCATGCCGACCAAAATCTCCAGCCACGCTAACCCCATTTCCCTGCACTTGGCCCATATCCTTCTAAACCTTTCCTATCCACGTATTTGTCCAAATGCCTTTTAAATGTTGTTAATGCACCCACCTCAATCATTTCCGCTCATAACTCATTCCACATGCGTATCATCCTCTGTGTAAAAAAAAAAGTTGCCCCTCAGTTCCCATGTATTCTTTCCCCTCTCATCTCAAACTATGCCCTCTAGTCCTCGGTTCCCCAACCCTGGAAAAAAGACTGAGCGCATTCACCTTATCCATGCCTCTCATGATCTTAAACACTTCTATAAGATTCCCCCTCAGTCTCCTACGGTCTAAAGAAAAAAAAAAGTGTCCTAGCTTGTCCAACCTCTCCCTATAACTCAGTCCCTTGAGTCCTGGCAACATCCTTGCAATTTTCTTCTGCACTCTTTCCAGTTTAATAACATCCTTCCTACAACAACGTGACCAAAACTGAACACAATATTCCAAGTGTGGCCTCGCCAATGTCCTGTACAACTACAACATCACTTCCCAACTTCAATACTCAGCGCTCTGACTGATGAAGGCCAGTGTGCCAAAAGCCTTCTTCACTGCCCTGTCTACCTGGACTCCACTTTCAGAGAACCGTGCACCTGAACTCCAAGGTCCCCTGTTCCACTACACTCCTTAAGGCCATACCATTCACCATGAAACTTCTACCTTGATTGGACTTTCCAAAATGTGACATGTCACACTTGTCTATATTAAACTCCATTTGCCATTTCTTGGCCCACATTGTACATCATCAATGATTTGGATGACAGATAGCAAACAGCAATGGGCCCAGCACCGACCCGAGGCACACCACTAGGCACAGGCATCCAGTACGACAAGCATCGTTCCACTATTACTCTCTCCTTCCCACCATCAAGCCAATTGTGTATTCAGTTTGCCAGCTGTCCCCGGATTCCAAGTGATCTAACCTTCCAGAGCAGCCTAGCAGCGTGGAACCTTATCAAAGGCCTTTCTGAAATCAGCATCAGCAAACTCCTTCCATGGAGCCTCACAACAAGACTGACTGCCTTCACTGTGCTTTAACCAACAAGGTAAGAGGGGCAAAGACTACATTTCCAAGAGACATTTCATAAATGCAAACCGGAAAAACTGACCTCCGCACTCAGATGAGCGAAAGCACTAATACATATGCTTTTACACTGCTTGGGCACTGCCTAGTGCCAACAGTGAGAGTGCCATCTCAGCCATTCCAACACCAGTGTAAGATGGCCTCAGCTCAGACTCTGCATTCTGAAACTTACTTCCGGACACTGATGGTGGGGACAAAAGCAGCTCCTGAACCCATTACCATTGGTAGTAAGCCTGGATTGGCAAATCTACTAGGTGGACTCCTAGTTGGCTCCCAGAGGTCTGGTCAGCTGTCAATCCTCAGCAATGCAACAGGTAATCGAGTGGTGAACTCCCCGACCCTACGAGAAAGACCTTTGCTATTCACCTTATCTATGCGCCTAATGATTTTATAAACCTCTATAAGGTAACGCCTCAACCTCCAATGCATCAGTGAAAGAAGTCTTGGCCTATCCAGCCTATTTTTGTACCTTAAATCCTCCATTCCCAGCAACATCCTGGTAAATCTTTTCTGAGCCCTCTCCAATTTAATAGCATCCTTTCTATAGCAGTCCAATCTATCCTGATAGATGGTTCCTGGGATGAAGAATTTCAGTTTTGTAAGTCTCTTCTGGACTGTCTCCAATGTTTTCATGTCCTTCCTTTGGTGTATTGCCCAGAACCGTACAGGCCTCCAGCTGAGGCCAAACTAGTATTTTATACAAATTCTACACAACGTCTGTATACTCTGTGCCCCTACTAAATTTGCCTAGAATGCTTTATGCTTTATGAACAGTCCTCTCAACTTCAATAATGCATGCCCATATACCCCAAGTCACTCCGCTCCTGCACCCCTTTTAGAATTGTTACAGGTTTTATATTGTCTCACTGTGTCCATTCTTCCAAAATGTATAATAATCAAATACTGCTCTGCATTGAGCTTCATCTGCCATTTATCTGCCCTTTCCACACACGTCCTTAAATAGTGGAATAGAAATTGCAGAGGCATTGGCAATTTTTCAGTCTTTGAAGCAGGGCATTACCAGAGGACAAGAGAGTTACAAACATTGCTTCCTTATATAAACAAAAGGTTGTAAAAGATAACCTCAGTAATTACATGGCACAGCAGTCAGTATAATTCAGTAGCTGCAAAACTTCTAGAAACAATAATTTGGGACAAAATTAAATAGTGACATGGTCTAATGTAGATTGATTGAGGATAGCCTGTGTGTTTATGACACTTCCAGGTTGTGTTATCTGAAATTGCCCCTGAACACCAAGGTTTTGATGATTAAATTTATAAACCAGGAAAAGCAAGAATGCCAACATAGATTCCTGCGGAACTCCACTACAATCTTTCCTTGAGAGTGAAAAATATCAATTGATCATTATTCCGTGTTTCCTATCACTCAGCCGATTTTGTATCCACATCGCTGCAGTCCCTTTTGGTCAGGTGGCCAGCAGCAGAAATGGCTATGAGACTGTTTAAGAGCTACAAGCAGGCATGCTGGGAATTTTGGTCAAGCTTGTTCAAATTATGACCAGAGTTAAAACTGCAGCAGGACCTGCTGTGACCTGCAGTTTCGTTGACCAAATAAGGCAACTATCATGGACAACAGTGTAGAGCTGGAGGAACACAGCAGGCCAGGCAGCATCAGAGGAACTGGAGAGTTGATGTTTTGGGTTGGGACCCTTCTTCAGAAATGGGGAGGGGTAAGGGAGCTGGGGAATAAATAGAGAGAGGAGGGATGGGACTGGGTAAGGTAGTTGGGATGGTGATAGGTAAATGCAGGTAGGGAATGGTGGGGATTGGTCAGTGAGATGGGTGGGGCGGATAGATGGGAGAGAAGATGGACAGGTTGTGTCGGGTCAAGGAGGCTGGAGGGAGGATGAGTGGGGCTGAGGAAGGTAGATGGAGTGGTGATAGATTGGATATAGGTAGGGGTTAGTGGGGAATTGTTGGCGGGAAGTGTAGGGCTGATAGGTGAGGGAGAAAATGGACAGGTTGTGTCAGGTAAAGGAGGCAGGGATGAGAGGGATGTTTGGTGGGATGAGGCTGAGGGTGGGGAGATTTTAAAACTGGTGAATTGCATGTTTAGGCCATCGGGCTGTATGCTCCTGAGGCGGAATATGAGGCGCTGCTCCGCCTGTTTCCTTGTGATATCATTGTGGCATTGGAGGAGGCCCAGCTTGGACATGTCACCCAGGGAGTGGGGGGGTAGGGGAAGAGAGACAGAGGGGGTGTAACAATGGTTGGCAACCAGTAGGTGTTGTCATTTGTCACAGAGCACAGAGGCTCCATGAAACAGTCCCCGAGTCTACGCTTGGTCTCAATGTAGAGGAGGCTACGTTGGGAGCAACGGATACAATAGACCAAATTGGAGGATGTGCAGGTGAACCCCTGTCAGATATGAAAGGTTTGCTTTGGGCCTTGAATGGAGGTGTACGGGCAGGTGTAGCTCTTCCTGTAGTTGCAGGGAAAGGTGCCGGGGTGATGGGGTTAGTGGGGAGTGTGGAGTGGCTGAGGGAGTCGTGGAGTGAGCGGTCTTTTCGAAAGGCTGTCACAGTGGTCTCTAGACATACTGGCACCACTACTATCTTATATGGAACATGGAACGTCACGTTTACGGCTTGGTGTAAACATTTGGGAGACGTTTACCAGTAAACTCCATCAGCTGGGATCAAACAATTTGATCAGGCTTTGATCAATTTATTGGTTGAGCGCTAGAAGAAAGGAACACATTTTCAGATAAGCGACATCCTGGTAAACCTCTTCTGAACCCTTTCCAGCTTGATAATGTCCTTCCTATGACTGGGCGACCAGAACTGGACAAAGTATTCCAGCAGAGGCCTCACCAATGTCCTCTACAACCTCAACATAATGTCCCAACTCCTATACTCAAAGGACTGAGCATAGCATGCCAAATGAGTTTTTAATCATTCTGTTTATATGTGACACAAACTTTATAGGATTATGTACCTGCATCCCTAAGTCCCTCTGTTCTACAACACTATCCAAGGTCCTACCATTAATTGTCCTATTACAAGTGTTTACTAGATGGGTACTTCCACATAGCTTTGAATCAGATAGAGGCATTCATTTTATTGCTCAAATAATGCAAGATATTATGACCTTATTTGGGATCAAAGATTCCATGTTGTCTATCATCCTCAATTAAGTGGGATAGTAGAGAGGATGAATCCTCGTTCAAAAAACATGGTTCAGAAGACAATTATACAAGGAACACATTACTACCATTTGTTCTAATGATAGTGCGAAATATAGTCTCTAGTTCAACTGGATTTACTCCACATGTTTTGATGACAGGGAACTGAATCTCTTTTAGGGTTGAACTTTTCTGAACCTGGGTCACAAAAGGAAACAGAGCAAGGCTTACATTGATGGTAAAGTGGATTCTATAGAGTATGAGGTGGGACAACAGATTATACTTCAAGTTCACCAACCAGGTATATTTTTGTCACCTAGATGTTATGGACCCCATTTTACTGTTGGTAAAATAAGTCCTTAGTGTAGGAAGCGTTACTGGATTCTGGGGAAAACTGGATGGTTTTATATAAACCAAATGAAGTCATATGGTCTTCAGTGTAATCATCAGTATCCTGTTAGGTTAGAAGCATGTGATCCCTATACTCATCCTTCTAATTTCCACTTTGATTCTTCTTTGTCTGGTTTTTCGACACTGGCTTTACAGAGAGATAGTCAGATAACGAATCTGAAGATTCCATAGATGGTCAGACAGAGAGTTCATCTGATATTTTGTCAGATCAGTCATGACGGTCCAGGAAAATATTTTGGTTAGGAGATGATCACAATTGTTTAGTCAGATTCGCAGGAGTGAATGCAAGAACCAATGATGAGTTGGTAGGTGTTCAGACGCTAGAAGAGGGAAGTTTAGTAAAGGCTGGTATGGTTGAACTGGCTGCTGGGCAATTCGTTGACCATGTTGTTCGGCAAATTCCACATGGTGAGACAATTCCTATTAATCAAAGAGCTTCAGATTATCTGTTTCTGACGGGTGTCCATACATACAACTGGTGCTTCTTCTAGGAAATCTTCTAGGATCAGTAGAATGTCGTTATCCTAATCCCATTCATCATCATCCTCATTAATCATAAATATTGGGAAATTCAAACATTAGTAAAGGGTGTTGGTTAACCATTTCTGGAAAATCAACAGTTCAAATAAGTAATTGATTGTAAGCCGTACATAACAGAAGGTATTACCTTGATTCTATTATAGGGTGATTAAAGATGGATGTCGTCGTGGAAATTTTACCCTGATTACCAAACTAAGAAAAACAATCAATCAATCATTAGAAATAGTGTTGCGAGATATATGGATGATCAGATGGGCAATCTATGGTTTATTCCACAAAGTGTAGGACATTGTGAAGGTGGGCATTTGTGGGTTGAATTTGATGCATTTGAAATAATCAGGTGTGAATATCAATTCACAGGAGATTTTCCCTGCCAACCTTTGACTCTAAATTATTGTTATCCTATTGAAGTTGGCTTTCCACTTCGACGATACAGCTATACTGATACTATGGCTAAAAGAGCAGGTCTGAGACTGGGAATCCTGCAGTAACTTACCTTCCAATTCCCCAGAGCCTGTCCACCATCCAGAAGGCACAAGTCAGGATGCATTGCGAGATATACGGTGTGAGATTTATATCTATTTTAATATCATTTGTTTTTAAGTTTAGATGTTTGAATTTTGACTTATGGGTTTTTCTGTGTGTCTGAAGGAGTTTAATGATTAACTTGCAAGTATTTCTGTAGTCATGGTGATTTCTTATAAAGAAACATGATAGAGATGTAGATCAGAACTAATGGGTGTTAGAAGCAATGTGCACAAAGTTTGCAATTGAGAAAAGTAAATAATTGTGAATCAGGGTTACTATTAAAAATTTCTAGACTTTAAGTTTAGGGGAAAGTACCCATAACTTGAAAATAAAAGGTGTTTTTTTCAGTTTGAAGCAGATCTGTAGAAGTTCTTAGAAGAAGATAGACACACAAAACAGTGCACCTGAGAAAGGGAGAAGATTGTAAAAAGTAGATTAGATTAGAGCAAGGAGTTAAGTAATAGTTCCAGGCCCAAAAGTGTTTGAATAAAGCCCTCAAGAGGTTACTTGAACCTGAGAACATTCAAGCTTTCGAGTATGAAAGCTCCAAGAAAAGGCCATCCAGACTGGGTGTTGAAACTGCAGTTAAAATAAATCTTTTGGAAAGTTAGAAGAGGGATTTTTTTTGATGCAAGTACTATACTGGGGTGCTTTTGGGATTTGTAAAGGCAAATTGGATTATATTTTACTGTACACTTCAAAATCTCTAAAATTATGGTTGTGTAAATGGCTTGAGTTTATTCTACTTTATTTTCATGTCTTATATGAAATAAAAAAATAGTTTCATTACTAAAACCATTGCGTGCTTATGTTTCAGTGAGAATCTACGTTGTTAAAACCAAACCATGATCTTTCAGCCAGATTTCAGTCTGGGATCTGATTTTTCCAATAACATCAGCTGGGATCACGTCAGTTGGAACACTCCCCACTTGCCTAGATGGCTGTTGCTCCAACAACAGTCAAGAAGCTTGATATCATCCAGGACAAAGCAGTCCGCTTGACTGGTACCACAGCCATTGCCTTCGGCATCCACTCCCTCCATCAACAATGTTTGGTACACCTCACTGCTACTATCTACAAGATGCACTGCAGAAATTCACCAAGGTTCCTTAGACAGCACCTTCTAAATCCATGACCACTTCCATTTAGAAGGGCGAGTACAGGAGATGCTTGGGAATATCCCAGCTGTAAGTTCCCCTTCAAGCCACTCGCTATCCTGCCTTGGAAATATACCATCATTCCTTTGCTGTTGCTGGGTTCCAATCCTGGAAACTCCCTCCCTAATGGTACTGGGGCTCAACCTACACTAAATTGGCTTCCACAGTTCAAGAAGGCAGCTCAGCACTATGTTATCCAGAGCAGGTAGGGTTGGACAATCAACACCAGTCTAGCCAGCAATGCCCATAACCTGTGAACAAATTGTAAAAAATTTCATACCTAACTGTGTGGGAGTCAAGTTGATTGGACCGAGCCGGTTAGCTTCTTTCCATTTTCTCAGATCCTCCAGTTCCTTGTTTGCCACTAGAATAAAAGAGGAACAGTGTTAGCCCATCGCTCATAGCGCAAGCCCCATAAAACAGCACATAAAAAACTTGCAGGTACACAGGTCACTGAAAGTGGCAATGCAGGTGGAAAAGGTAGTTAACATGGCATGTGGCATGCTTGCTTTCATCGGCCAGGGCATCGAGTTTAAAAATTGGCAGGTAAAGTTGCAGCTTTATAGAACCTTAGTTAGGCCGCATTTGGAATATTGTGTTCAATTCTGGTCGCCATACTGCCAGAAAGATGTGGTGGCTTTGGAGAGGGTTCAGAAAAAATTTACCAGGATGTTGCCTGGTATGGAGGGCATTAGCTATGAGGAGAGGTTGGAGAAACTTGGGTTGTTCTCACTGGAACGTTGGAGGTTGAGAAGTGACCTGATAGAGGTCTACAAGATTATGAAGGGCATGGACAGAGTGGACAGTCAGAAGCTTTTTCCCCAGGGTGGAAGAGTCAGTTACTAGGGGCCATAGGTTTAAGGTACGAGGGTCAAGGTTTAAAGGTGATGTACAAGGCAAGTTTTTTTTTTTAAAAACACAGAGGGTGATGAGTGGCTGGAACTCACTGCCGAGGGAGGTAGTGGAAGCAGATACTTTAGTGACTTTTAAAGGGTGTCTTGATAAATACATGAACAGGATTGGAATAGAGGGATATGGTCCCCGGAAGTGTAAGGGGTTTTAGTTGTGACGGGCAGCATGTCTGTGCAGGCTTGGAGGGCTGAAGGGCCTGGTGATGTGTAATTTTCATTGTTCATTGTTCATTATAACATAATTTACTGGTTAGAGACTACAGGCTGACTCGGGGACTCTGTCCGCTACGATTCCTCGTTGCCACAATTTGACTTTGCAACTTTTAGCAAGCGTGAATCTGAACGATTCACAACTGGTCATTGCTGGAGAACTACTGAGGTCTCAGCCGGTTGAATGTCTGGAGGAGATTACATGAATATAGGAGTGGCAGATGCCCTGGAAGGCTTGGAAAAGGACAGAGAGAGAATTTTAAATGTAAAGTGCTTACTGGACTGGGGACCACAGTGGTGTTGGGGAAACTACAGGTGCTGAGTGTCAGGAATAAACAGGGGTTTATACATTGAAGTACAGGGATAGTGTAAGATGGAAAGCATGCCAGGGCAGGACTGGTATCTGGAGGGGACTAAAATATGAACCATCAGGTTAGTTGAATAAAAAATAACGACCCCATGTCCATTTCTTAAATACTTACTCATTTGCAGATGTGATCTCCTGTTCTGATTTGGTGTAACCACTGAATATCCTCCTCTGCTGCAATTTGAAAGGGACAAACATTATTTGTAAATTCAACCTCAGGGCATCTTCATGGCTTCAGCCATCAAAGCATTTTAGAAGGGGATGCAGTTTAACAATTCAAAATTATTTGACAAATTCATTTTAGTTCTGTGCTCACTGAAATGTGATTTATAAAAACTTTGTATTTAAGAATTCTTTCCCAAAATATCTCTGGATTCAAGCTTTTGTACTGCTGAAACTTAGCAATTTGGAATAAATTGTTTTGCTGATTTGATGCAGTCAATAGTGTGAATCGCCTCAGGCTGGTATCACTGAAGGCTGAATTTGACCAGAAGTGTCATGCACGGTTTCTCTGTGAGCATCAGCAAGTTTTCTCACTCAGTTCCCTGCAGCTGGCCTCATCACCTATACACTACACCCCAATGGCCTCTCACTCGTTATGTCTTCCCTCTTGCCACAGATGCAAGCGCTTGGCACTGCCAGAACTTCTCAGGATCTCCAGAGCCTCATTTCAGCTTAATCTGCTGCAACATCACCCAAGAGCTGCTGTTCATGGTGGCAATGCTGCCCTTTGAGGTGGCCAACAGGAGCAAGTTGGCAACCAAATTTGCTGACAGGACCTGAATTACCGGAGCATGACATCCTGACTCCGATATTCAAATCCTCTCACTATGAAGGCCAACATACCATTAGCTTTCCTCCCTACCTGCTGCACCTGCATGCCAACCTTCAGCGACTGTTCCACCACGGCATCCAGGTCTTGATGCACTTCGCTTTTTACTAAACTGCCACAACAGGGTAGAGAGGGCCAAGACACAAAGTGGGGTGACCAACATCTCTCTCTGTCTCTCTATGTGAGGATCCTTACCCGAGTGGGAAAGGACTGTGACTGCTCATGTGGTATTGCTAAGAACTCCATATACCCGTAATCAAGTAAGAATCAATGCCAAGTGTTGTGCTGCTCTCCCATTACCTCCATTGAGAATGTATTCTTAACATGGCCAAGCTTCAGAATTATTTCACAACTCATTCTCTCTCATCTCTTGATGAGAGCAGCCCTTCAGGACATCATCTCTTCCTCCACCTCTGAGGAAGAAGCCACAGACCCCTCAGAAGAGTCATCAGCAACGCTGTCTCCTGAACGCTCCACCAGCTCAGATGCTGCCACCTCAGGCTGTATGTTAGATTCGAGTCGATAGGACTTGCTGCAGAACGCATCAACACATTACCACATCATTAACGCATTTGCCCCAGGAAGTTATGTCCCAGATTGCTGGCACTTGAAGGGCTGCCAGAGACCAGGCATCTACTCAGACCCAGGCAGGAGAGGATCCCTGGTTTTGGCCATTCAGAACTTCATTCATATATACAAGCAAACATAGGAGCAGGAGGCAGGTAGATTTGAGTGACATTAGGCAAATTGACAAAGATTGGAAGACTTATCTGCACCATGCTGCCCCTGGCATGGCATCTGCGCACACAGCCTTATAAACAGACCTTCACTTCATCGCTCTAGTCATCAGTTCTCAGTACCAAACAGCAAAGTGACAGGGTGCTGAAGGACTCTGGCCTCACTTTAGGTGTCCCTTCCTCACAGGGCAGTGCCAGTAGGCACCCAGCTGGAGAAGGAATCCCACACAGGCCCTAGAAGTCTCCTGGAGTGTCCTGAGAGAGAGGCGTGGCTGGGCCTTCTACGTCCACCTTCAAACCTGTAGGATTTCAAGGTGAGGAGGGTGCACCTTCATCTCTCTCAGCACATCTGGGCACAAATGCCCCTAGGATTGCCCAACCAAAACTCGATGGTCACGAGGCTATAATATAGGTCAAGCGCCCTCCTTTCTAGGCAAGGATCCCAGGACTGCACCTTGATGTAGTGGAAGAAAACAAAACAAGATGACTTTGAGGGCACTACATGCCAGGGTGACACCTCGTTATAAATACGTCCTCACATTTGTAAATATATGCTTACTTTCCATCATCAGCTGTCTGAACAAATATTATAGTGGCTGAAACAAGAATGAAGGTACAGAGGCTCACTATCCTTAGTGCCACATGATGTTATAATGGTGTCTGAGCAACAACTATCTTTTCCATAATGCCCCTACCAGCTTAAAACATTGTATTGATTGAACAAGGGACTCTCAAAAGCTTCCATCAGTTTGCTGCCCTTGTAGGGGAGGCAGTGGCCTAGTGGTATTATTGCTGGACTGTTAATCCAGAGACCCAGCTAACGGTCTGGGGACCCACGTTTGAATCCCACCATGGTAGATAAATTCAATAAATATCTGGAATTAAGAATCTAATGACAACCATAAATCCACTACCGATTGGTGAATCAGATGGGTTTTTCCTGACAATGTCCTTTAGGGAAGGAAACTGCCATTCTTACCTACCCAACTGCCTACATGTGACTCCAGACCCTCAGCATTGTGGTTGGCACTTAACTGCCCTTTGGGCAATTCAGGATTGGCAATACATGCTGCCTGACCAGCGATGCCCTCATTCCATGAATGAATCAAGGGGAAAACAAAAATATTCTGAGTCTTCTAACTGAAACTTGTTTCTTAAGTTTCATTTCCTTGTGCTGGTCACTGTTTACCTGACACTCCTACATTATCTAAACAGTGTTTATCATTTCGCATCTCTGACTTAATGATAAAAGCACCAACTTCCCAAGTTCACTTTTACAACCAGGAATTCTCTTAATTGTCAGGTGAATAATGGAAACAGCGTGTGTCAGTGAACTTTAGAACCACTTGTTCACATGTGGCTTGTACCAATATGGCTAGCTGAATGGTCTTTCTTTTCCATTTAGGCCCTCCTCATATAACAATGCCACAATTTGTAGATGAGACACCAACTACAGTTGGATTTCTCTGCTCCAAATGTTTAATCTACACGTTTCTTTAAAAAGAAGTGCTACTGCTCTTTCTTCAACAACACTGCGGCAAAGTAGTCACAGTCCAAGAACACTTAGTATAAATTACAATTAACATTCATCTGTCAGTACACTTGCTTGTTCTGATATTCTGTAATTCCCTCACTCTTTGAATCTCAAAATCTTTGACAGAGTCTAGTACTGCCACCTTTATAGAATCACAGTGCATCCCGTCTGCATCAGTTCTATTAATCTGCCAAACTCCTGCCTTTTTCCTTATATCCCTGCTCACTATTTCTATCCAAATAACCATCCAATGCCCTTGAGTGTCTCAATTAAACCTGCCTCCACATTTCCAGGCAGTGTATTCCTTACCCCTGCTCTCAATGTCAGTGCACTGGGATCCACACCACCATTCCCGTACCTATCCTTGCACATCACAATGACAACAAATGCACCAATAGCCAATTGAGCATTTGATACTATCACACAGGTGTGCTGCCGTGTTGCTTTTTACCCCCAGGCTCATTCTGTTCATACATTTTACAGTTAGAGGATTTCCCTCCTCCTTCCCTGAAGAATTAACAGGGGTGTCTGCGTTCACTAGATGGTGCCCACTGCAGACACTCCAGGCTGATGTTCCAGTGCAGTGTTCATGAAGAAATGATTTTTTTTTGCCATTTTCTAAAAGAGGAGTTTCTTTCCAGTCTACTGGCCAACATTCATCCCCCAAAGAACATCAAAACAAAAAGCAGTGTCATTTTATTTGTGGGGTCATGCCCACAAAATTAATAGCTGTAGCTTTTAAATTATGATGGGGATTGAATTTTCAGATTGTACCTAACAGTTTGCAAATTGCTCTGAGATAGCCACCAATCATGAAAGGCGCTATACAAGTAGTCATATAGCACAGAAACAGACCCTTCAGTCCAACTCGTCCATGCCAACCAGACATCCCAATCTGACCTAGTCCCATTTGCCAGCATTTGCCCCATATCCCTCTAAATTCTTCCTATTCATATATCCATCTAAAATAAAAATTCATCCTTTTCTGATTTCAATTGCTCAAGGGTTTCACTGCCAGTGTGCCAAGTGCCAGAATTCTCTCCCTCTTCTTTTAAGACGCTCCCTGACTGAGCCATTGGTCCCTGCTCAGAACGTCCTCTGAATGTGGCTCCCCGATTCTGAAACATGTTTGATGACAGTACCATGAAGCGGTGTGGAAAGGTGGGGCTGTCTTCGTGGTGCTCAGGACGTGACAGAGATTTTGTTGCATTTCTCCTTTAGAGAGCTGTCTTGTCCCTCCGCAAATGCCCACTTCTTTCTGCTCAACCTCCCATATTCATGACTCCTTGTGTTACTTCCATTCTCAAAGCACAGAAGGCTACTTAATAAGAGTCCATGGCATTGACAGCAATGTTCCCACTAAGCAGCTGTGTAGTTCATTGGGAGTTTCCTTGCATGGAGTTGGGGACTAAGTGTGGTGTGTCAAAATTTGATGACACTAGGGTGAGTGGTAGAGCAAAGTCTGCAGAGGGATATAGATAGTCTAAGTGAGTGGGCAAAAGTCTGGCAGATGGAGTACAATGTTGATAAGTGTGAGGTCATCCATTTTGGTAGGAATAACAGCAAAATAGACTATGTTTTAAATGGTAAAAAATTGCAGCATGCTGCTGTGCAAAGGGACTTGGGTGTCTTTGTGCATGAATCGCTGAAGGTGGGATTGCAGGTGCAGCAGGTAATTAAAAAGGCAAATGGAATTTTGTCTGCCATTGCTAGAGGGATGGAGTTTAAAAACAGGGAGGCTATGCTGCAGCTGTATAGGGTCCTGGTGAGGCCACACCTAGAGTATTGTGCGCAGTTTTGGTCTCCTTACTTGAGAAGGGATATATTAGCACTGGAGGGGGTGCAGAGGAGATTCACTCCGTTGATTCCAGAGTTGAGAGAGTTGGATTATGAGGAGAGACTGAGTAGACTGGGATTATACTCATTGGAATTCAGAAGAATGAGGGGAGATCTTATAGAAACATATAAGATTATGAAGGGAATAGATAAGGTGGAGGTAGGGAGGTTATTTCCGCTAGCAGGTGAAACTAGGACTAGAGGGCATCGCCTCAAAATAAAGGGAAGCAGATGTAGGACTGAGGTCAGGAGGAACTTCTTCACCCAAAGGGTTGTGAATCTGTGGAATTCCCTGCCCAGCGAAGCGGTTGAAGCTACCTCGCTGAATGTTTTTAAGGCAAGGCTAGATAAATTTTTGAACAGTAAAGGAATTAAGGGTTATGGTGAGTGGACGGGTAAGTGGAGCTGAGTTTCAGAAAGATCAGCCATGATCTTATTAAATGGCGGGGCAGGCTCGAGGGGCCAGATGGCCTACTCCTGCTCCTAGTTCTTATGTTCTTATATTCATGTCATTGCATTGCTTTCTGATCCCAGAAGACCACTGCAGAGTTCATGCAGCAGAAAAAATATTAGAGGAATCATTGGTTGGAGGCTGTATATTATCATGGATAAAGGATTTGCTGATGAATAGAAGACAGATAAGGGATAAATGGTTCTGAAGAAGAGTCTCTGGACCTGAAACATTAACTCTGATTTCTCTTCACAGATGCTGCCAGACATGCTGAGTTTTACCAGCAATCTCTATTTTTGTAAGGGATAAGGGGAGCATTTTCAGGATGGCAATCTGTAACTAGTGAAATTCCACAGGGCTGAGGCCACAACTATTTATAATGTGTATTAATGATTTGGATGAGAGAAGTGAATGCATTATAAATCAAGTTTACGAATGACAAAAATAGATGAGAAGGCAAGTGTTGAGGATGATATAAGACTTTGATTAGGCCACACTTGGAGTACTGCATTCAATTTTGGTCGCCACATTACAGGAAGGATGTTGAAGCTTTGGAGAGGGTGCAGAAGAGATTTACCAGGATGCTGCCGTGGATTAGACGCTGTAAGGAGAGGCTAGAAAAACTCAGGTTATTTTCTCTGGAATGGCGGAGGCTAAGGGAGGCTTGACAGAAGTCTATAAAATGAGACGCATAGATAGGTTGACAGTCAGAATCTTTCTTCCCCCCAGAGTTGAAATGTCTAAAACTAGGGGCATACATTTAAGGTGAGAGGAGGAAAAGTTCAAAGGAGATGTGAGGGGCAAGTTTTTTTAAACAGAGTGGTAAGAGTCTGGAAAACGCTGCCACCGGTGATGGAGGAGGCGGATATGATAGGGGAATTTAAGACCCTTTTACATAAGCACATGAATATGCAAGTAATGAAGGGATATGGACCAAAGGCAGACAGAAAGGATTAGTTTAATTTGGCATCATGTTTGGTACAACACTGTGGGCCAAAGGGCCCATTCCTGTGCTGTACAGTTCTATGTTTTCAATGTTCTATGTAAACAGTCTGTCAATAGGCAGGTTAAGTAGTAAGATGTGAGGCGATTCTACTTGGTGGGAAGAATACAGGAGTTGAATTATTTAAATGGAGAAAGACTGCAGAAAGCTATTGAACAGAAATTTGGGAGTCCTTGTCCACGAGCTACAAAAAACTGCATTTATTTTCAGCACTAAATGGGGGTGGCAAATGGAATGCTGGCCTTTATTTCAAAGGAATGGAGTACAAAAATAACACTATATTAAAACTATACAAACTGCAGCTGGAATACTATGAACAGTTTTCATCCATTTATCCAAGGGAAGGTTATACTGGCATTGGAGGCAGTTCAGAGAAGGTTCTTTAGTTTGATTCTGGGTATGGGGGACTGGCTTATGAGGAGAGGGCAGTAAATTGGGCCTGCACTCATTGGAGTTTGAGAGGTATGACAGGTGACCTTATTGAAACACAAAAGATTCTTAGGGGGCTTGATATATTCACACAGTCTAGGACCAGTGGGCATAATCTCACAATAAGTGGTCACACATTTAGGTCAGAGATGAAGAGGAATTTCCTCTCAATGGATAGTGATTCTTCACTGCAGAGGGCTATTGAGGTTGGATTAAGAATACTCAGAGCTGAAATTGACTCACTGATTAAAAATCTAAGTTTTAATCACGGACTATGGGGAAATGACTGGAAATTGGAATTGAAGATTATCAGATCAGCCAATAACTGATCCAATTGAATAGTAGATCAGACGCCGTAGGCTGAACGGCCTACTCCTACTTCAAAGTGGAAGACAGTTAGGGAAAAAAAAATACATTAGCCAGCCTTAAATTCCCACTCTCATACCCTCCCCACCTCATACACACACTATCGCTCGTCAGCATCTACAGCGTCAGCCTTTCCCATTTCACATCGAGGAAATCAATCGACAGGAAACAAAACTGAAAGTAAGGTTCGTCGGTTGTTATACCACTCGCCCTTCACAAAAATCCAGACAACCACAAAGTTTAATGTAAAAACTGAACGAGCTGCGGATGCTGTAAAATCAGGAACAAAAACAGAAGTTGCTAGAAAAACTCAGCAGATCTGGCAGCATCGGTGAAGAAAAAAAGATCAGAGTTAACGTTTCGGGACCAGTGACCCTTCCTCAGAACTGAGCTTTTCTAGCAACTTCGGTTTTTGTTCCAAAGTTTATACGCTTGTCTGCTTATTGTAGATTGCAATCTAACCCTAACCCTAACCCTAATTGCAGTCCGAGAAAGAAGACCGAACCCACAAGGCACAGTATTCTGTATGCCCTCTCCGTATGAACGGCGTCACTAGCCCTGGTAAAGTCGCCGCTGTTCTTACTATTGAGGTTGGCGGTCGTCCACTGGTACCTGCCCGTCTCCAAACTGCTGTTCCAGTTCACTTCCTCGCTCCACATCCTCCGGCTCGTTGTAGGGCTGATGAGAGGCAGCCGCTCGCTGCTGTCCCGGAGCAACTCTCTTGGTTTGGGACATACTCCTTTACGTGTGCATGAGAGGAAGAAATCGATAACACTCTCCTAACCGAAACAAGGTAACAACTTCCGGCTTTGAACCGACAGCAAACTGAGGAGAGGCCTTTTGAAAACAGTTAGTCCCGTGACCCTGAGATGGAAACAGTGGGAGGGGTAAATGCATGAGCAGTCTTGGGAGTTACCCTATTCTCTGGGCTTATGGACTCAAATTAGCCCACAACATTTGGTAGAATTTGAATTCAATTAATAAAATCTGGAATTAAATAATATGGATTCATTAATTAAGAAGAATAGTTAGTCTTACTGATAGTAAACCAAACAAAAAACCTATCCAGTTCACTAATGTCCTTTAGAGAAGGAAAGCTGCCATCCTTACCCACTCTGGCCTACATGTGACTCCAGACCTATAACAATGGGGTAGACTCTTAACTGCCCTCTGAAATGGCCAAGTAAGCCACTCAGTTGTACACTTTAGTGGCTCATCAGTGGCCTTCCATTGAAGACCAGAGAACAAAAGAACATCAGGAAAAATAAACCCCAAACTGTAGATAGTTTTCCCCAATTCCCTTTGCAACTGTAACAAGACTGTATTCCTTTTATACTCCATTCCCCCTTGCAATAAAGGCTAGTATTCCATTTACCTCCCAAATCACTCATTGTAACTTGCAGACTAACTTGGTGTGCTTCATGCACCTTACTGTAGCATTCTGTAATCCATTTCATTTAAATAATATGCTGCTTTTCTTCCTGCCAAAACAGACCAGTTCACATTTTCCCATATTATACTCCTGTCAGGTTTTTGCCCACTCACTATTCCACTTAAATCTTAAAACTTTAAGCCATTTCTAAGCAAGTTTTAAGTGAATTCACTTGCAGTGAATTAGGGCAACTTGGCTGGATACAATTATTTTAGGTTCAACATGTGATCTAGTGGGCATCTCAGAATAGATTTTGGTATTTCTGTGGGCCAGGATATACTCTGAATACTGAATGTAGTCAGTTGTAGCAACAATGTAGAAACATGTGTGACTTTGACTGTGATAACGTATGAAACCTTTACCAGACAAAACAGATTAATTGACAGCAAAGTGAAGAATTAACCCTAATCAGCACAATTGACACTGAACATTTACACTTATGATATTTTAACCTGTTAGGTCATACACATTAGAAAGAATGGCATTTAAATTGTATACAGAATGTCCTCACTTCTGGCAGAAGCTCATAACAAGTCTCGTCATAATTAGATGCCAATGCAGGAATAGAAAACAAAACTGGAGTCTCAATTATAGATAAATAGTTGATGAATCATTAAGTTAATTCATGATTTTTCACAGAACTGGTTTTTAAATTTATAAGTGTTAACATTTGGAATGTTCCTAAAGACGTTGTTTGTGAAAGATTAGTCCGAAACCTTCAACCTTATGTTAAAATTCAAATTTTAGAGCCTGCTAACACAGAATAGCTGCAAAGCTTGCATGAAAAGACAAGCTCCAGGAGAGGATAATTCAAGCAGTGCTTATCACAGGGACCCGTGCCTTCAGGGAGGCCAAGTTCAGTCAGGTCTTCCTCTTTTTCAAGTGGCTACCTCATGCCCCAAGGATAGTGGGTGGGTGCTGTGCACAAAATAGCTGAGGGCTGGGGACACTTTCATCCCGAGAGGCCAGGAAATCACCCTTTAAAAATCAAATATTGTGGCAAGCAATCAGAGCAAGGTCACCCTCCCCACTCCATATATGAGATTAATGTCTCTCTTGTGTCTTGTGGCTTTAAGTTTAAGGGAGGTTTGAGAACTGAGAACATTGATAAATTCTTTAAATTCTCTTTCTATGTGAGTCTAAACACACCATATGCCATCTACATCATAAAATAAATGATTCAGTCAGAATTATAAAGAAACCCACGACAAAATAGTATACCCCCAAAAATCAAAAATGAGCCCTTTGGAATATCTCAAGGAGAACTCCCGGAAAAGAAAAATTTTGATATGAGGCCAGGTTCACAGAAGTGGAACTGGTCACAATTCACTGGGGTAGCATACTGGAAATAAACCACCACTATTTCCAGAATGTAAGAAAATGTCATCTATCTATCCAATTTACCTGACTGACAGACTCAGATTAAAGGAAAGTGCACACCAGATTTTTGTATTTAACAAAGAAACAGATTGCAAACAGATTGTTTTTAACTAATGAGAGGAATAAATATGATTGTTATCTTTTAATTCTCCCACAATTTAAATTCTATACCTTTTAAATTCCCTCTCTTACAGTTAGACAGACACACAAACACAGACAAGGCATGGATATTAAGGGTGGAAAAAGAACATATTGAGGGAAACACAGTTCGATAGTACCAGTATGGACTGTAGTACTCGATACATTGTGCTCTTTCCCTTCCTTCAGATTATTTGATGTTGACATGACATTGGTTGTACACTAACGTTCAGCCTTTCGTTCACCAGTTGAAAGTTCATCCTTCGATGTGTTTGAAGCTGTTTGTTCCTCCTTAGGGGATTTGCAAAGAAAGATGAGTAGAAGATAGCTAGTTGTTACTGGACACTTGCTAATACTTCCACAGAGGAAACAGAACATAGAGATTTTTGACTCTTTCTCTGTGCAGGCTAGATGTTTCTGCTGCAGTGGTCCCACACAAGCCATGGGTACGTGGCCAGGAGTCAATCAAAACATTGTTGTCAAGTAGGTTTCCCTAAGTTTCCATTGGATTAATCCTGCCTGTCTTTGCTCTCACTGTTCCAGTTAAAGGCAGCATTGTATATTACTCACAATATGCTCTGGTACACATGTATAAAACTGCAGCTATCTCCTTAGTCAGTTTCCTTGGTTAAAAGCAGTATCTTCCATTTTCCCCTGCGTTACATTGAGTTTTTGCAGGATTTATTGCTGGGAAGCCTTCGTGTTCCTCCACCTCATGTCTTATTAATTACATACCACACCCCTATGATGATGTCTCTCCCATTCAATTTACCTCCTCAGCTCACCACATGCCATTCCCAGAAAAACTCACCTCAGCAGTTATCCCAGAAATCACCAATATTCCTTGCACCAGTGTCACCTTTAAAAACCCATTGCTCCCCCAGACAAGCACTGTCAGTCAAGAGCTACTGTGCATGATTTTTGACATTTGTTCTGGACATGGCAGATAGGCCCTTTTCTGTGGGCAGGTTTCTGGAGCTCCTACTGGACAGGGCATTGACCAGTTGGTAATTTCTCCTCACCCAGGACCAGCAGTGACCATCACATGACTCTAGACCATGCCAGCCTGGTATGAGGTTGCCACCCAGGTCAGTGCAGTCTCAGCAGTCTGGAGGAATTCCCAGTAATGTAGGAAGTAGATCAGTGACTTTCCCCACTTCATCAGCATAATTGCCATAATCTTCTCTCAGATACCTTCTACTCTTTCCATCTCAGCTACCAAACACACGGTCATGCTCTACCACTCTCACTAATGCCTGCAACATCTTCCCTCGTTCACTGTCACCCATCCTAACCTGCAACACCGCTGACCCTGTGTGCTCCCTGTGCTACCTACTCACTCATTCAGGACACATCCCTACCTGGACCAACAGTAGCAGCTGTGTCACCATTTCTATCTCCCTTAACTCCTGCCTCTCTCTCATTCAGGAGAAAAACAGCCCACAGTCAGACAGAAAGTGTCAAGACAGGAGGTGGGCTACTGGTAATTTAGCTCTTCACCTCTTGTGAGGATATCACCCTGATTCTGACCACCCCCAGCAGGGTCTGAACCTGGTAATGTAGACTGCCCTTGACTTACTCTATTGGGATCCCATGATTTGAAGGAGTCCTGCTTACAACCAATAACAAGTTTTGTGGCTTTGTGAGTGTACTAATTGGCACAAAATGACAGCAGGTAGGCTTAGAGTGAGGGACCGATAAGGGAAGGAGGGAAGAGACTGAAGATATAGCCTGGTTCAGTCCATGAACTGGATTTGAGTCGCTTGAGAGCACAGTGTCCTTGATGCAGCATTACAATGATAGTTGCTGCTACTACTGAGCATTGGTGGTGGAGGGACTGGATGTGGATGTGGTGCAAATCAAGAAAACCACTTCATCCTGATGGTGTCAAGCTTCTAAACTTGTGCCGTCTGGAATGTGGACAGGCCTTAGGAGTCAGGAGGTGAGTTACTCACTGCAGGATTCCTAACCTCTTCAGTACTCTTGTAGCCACAGAATTTATATGGCTAGTGCAGTTCAGCATCTGGTCAATGGTACTCCCGAGGATGCTGATAGCATGGGAGTCAATGATGGTCATGCCATTGAAAGTCAAGGGGAAATGGTTAGGTTTCAAGGACTTCCAAAAACTAACAACCCTTTGAAAGAAAAATATTTCCTCATCTCAGTCTTAAATGGGCTATCCCTTATCATTAAATTATGATCCTTCATTGTAGATTCTCCCATAAGAGGAAATAGCCTTTCCACATCCACCCAGTCAAGTCCCCTCACTATCTTATATGTTTCAATTTAGTCAACTCTGACTCTTCTAAGCTCCAAGGACACAGTCTAACCTGTTCAATCTTTCCTCACAGCACAACCCACTTCTCCAGGCATTAATCCAGTAAACCTCTGAACTGCTTTCAAATGCATTAACATCCTTCTGTAAGTACAGTGACCAGTACTGTACAGTACTCCAGATGCAGTCTCACCAATTCCCTGCATAACTGAAGCATAACCTCCCTACTCTCGCATTCAATTCTGCTCACAATCAAACATAATATTCTATTAGCTTTCCTTATTACTTGCTGTACCTGCATACTAATCTTCTGGGATTCATGCACTAGGACACCAAGATCCTTCTGCATTTTAGAGGACTGCAATCTCTCATCATTTAGGTAATATGCTTCTTTTTATTCTTTCTGCCAAAATAGATAATTTATCACTTTCCCACAATATACACTATTTGCCAAATTTTTGCCCACTCATTTAACCTCTCTATATCCCTTTGTAGTCTCCTTATATCCTCTTCACACCTCACTTTCCTACCTATCATTGCATCATCAGCAAATTTAGCTACCATACCTGTGGTCTCTTCTTCCAAATCGTTTATATAAATTGTAAGGAGTGCAGGCCTCAGCATCGATCC